GTCTATGCATAAAGAGTATATTGATTAAAGTTGAAAATTACTACAAAACAATGAACACCACTAACATTAACTACTATCAGGAGCTACAAGGAAAGTAGTGTATGTTTTCATGAATCCTTCCTAGTAACCTTCTTATCCCATACCTAAAAGAGATGCTAATTGAAAAGGACCACGAAAATATACATGTAGAATCAGTCTCTGTTTAAATAACTAAAACGTTAAAATAAAGAAAATAATTACATACTGAAAGACACCCATAGAGTTCTCAGGATGTTATATAGTCAATTCTAGAACCCAAAACCTCAAGCAATTAACCTGAAAAAAGCTTTCTGGACCGAAGTTCCTATATCACCATGTAAATATGCTTCATGCTTGAGCACTTGTTGATGTAGATACTTGGCACAGAATTTAGCAACAACTTTACCTGTAATTTATGAATGATTTGGTTATATGGTTAGATCAGGAAGCAGCAGAAGTAGTTGCTTAAAAGATCCTTCAAGATGCTTGATTATAGTAGCAACCTTATCTTTCTAGAGCAGGAAAATTATCAAAGATTAAAGTGTATATTGTTCAATAAGCATGAATAAGAACTTGGATTTAAATTGGTACTTTAGGGGATATTGAAGTTTCTTTAGTAACCTCTATTGCACGAATTAATTTCAAGGCTGCCAAATCAAATCTATTGCAGTACATCCCTAACACCACCATATAAAACAAAGAATCGGTAGTAAAGGCAGGCAATTTAGGGGTAACAGATAATACAACTTATGCCAAGCAAGAATATCATTCTAAGACCTCCAAATTTACAACTCACATGCCTCACCTCCACAAAGGAACATTATGCAAACAACCATAATCTATCAGCGGAATCACCCACAAACGTTATGAATAAAAAAGTATAAACTAAATGAAAGAAAAGAACGTACAAATATAATAGACCCTTGACCAGATTCCAAATCTAAAGAAATGTAGCTTTAAAGGGGACAAATCATCAGTTTATTGAAGGAATGAAAAGGATAAACGTTAGTATCATGAGTCATGTATTAAGAGTCGATATACCCATTGAAGGGATATTGCTTGTTCAAGAAGACATATATATTATCTATATTATCAAGTCAAAGGATAAATGGCATCAACTAGTCAAAACAAACATTTGCCGAACTCCTACTTGAAACCCATAAAAAGGTTGCCAAAGATTCAAGTTCACTGCTCAAATAAGAGAAACGGTTCTGATACAGACAGCACGTCTCCTTGAGTTTATTTCTGAATAAACAGTCTCCCAACTATAACCTCCAGTTTTAATCTACTACCAAAATATCTACCACAGAACACTTCAGTTGCCTCATTGATACACAACCTGATGATATCAGAAGGTCCTTTTCCCCCTTAATTGACCTTGAAGTATCCTCTTTCCAACTCTCTGAGCTTCAAAATGTAAAGTGTCTTTTGATGTATTGTGAAAAAAATCAGTTGGGAAATGTGCTAGCAAAAGAGGATAGTGAAAAAAGCAAAAATGAAAGCATAATTTGCTATTCAATATTCTTTATTGTAGAAGAGTTTGATGATTTTTTTTGTGACCAAGAATTTCACCGAGGGACGACTGGAAACTCAAAAGATAATGGGCCCACCCCTCTACCCGTTCCCAATAAATTACAAGGCTTTGGTACTAGCAAGGTTTGAACTCGTGACATGCGTCAAATCCACACATCACATTTGAGATAATGGGCCCACCCCTGTACCCGTTCCCACTAAATTACAAAGCTTTGGCAATAGCAAGGTTTGAGCTCGTGACATGCGCCAAAGCCACACATCACATGTGATGCTCTTACCACAAAACCAAAGCCTAGGGAGCAATGGTTTTCATGATTGGTGTTGTTAGTGAATGGGAGAGAAAAGATAAGGGAAAAAGATCAACTTGTCATTTATGTTGTCTATGGCAGCATAAGTGGTAGAATTTAATGTTGTTCTAAGAATTACTAAAGAAAGAATGATTTTTGGGAAAAATCCTCCCAATTGTTTGCTAAAATATTCTTAGTCCATATTGTTAGCTTCAAACCTTTTGAAACCCCATAGTTAAGCAACAGAGTAATGAAAGCAGTCACATGTGTATTCCCGTTGCCCAACAATAAGATACTCAGTTTGGCTGATCCTATATATAAAGCAGTGAACCGCTATGTGGTTCGCATTTTGGTCTTCGTCCTTCTATCTTTTTCACTTGCTCTTCAGCTTTCTCTCTCCTTTTCTCTTCAATATTGTTAGAATAGGATTAGGATTGTAAAATGTTTCCTATATGAAAAAGGATAAGTCAGCTCCAGGCAAAGGAATACTCTCTGAGGATCGAGGCCATGAGCAGATCGTTGGATATACAGACGTAGATTGGGCAGGAACACCATTTTATAGACTCTCTACATCTGGATATTGTGTTTTAGTAGGAAGTAATTTGGTTTCCTGGAAGAGTAAGAAACATAATTTGATTGCTTGATCTAGTTCAGAAGCAAAAAAATCTAACGAAGGTTGCAGCAACTTGTGAGCAGTTGGATCAAACAGTTGCTCAGACAAATAAAATTTTGGAGAAATTAGTCAGATGAAACTTGTGTAATAATCAAGCGCCACTTTATATTGCAACACATTCAATATCTTATGACAGGACTAAGCACATTGAGATTGTCTGTCACTTCATAAGAGAAAAGATACTCTCAGAAGATTCGGTTACAAAATTTGTGAAGTCAAGTGATCAACTTGTAGATATTTTCATCAAATCCGTTGCTACAAGTTGATCACTTGACTTCATATATTCCACAGTGTAGTTTTCCTAAATTAATTACAAAAACACTAAAACTGATAATGCATTTCTGCAAGTTCAAACCATGGCCTTACTGACAAAAATAGACCCAAATGAACATAAAAGATTTCTATTGCAAAATGGCACCACATCCCACTTAATAATGCTTGATGCATAATGATTTCATGGATCAACTGTCAAGATATGAGCTATTGTAAGTCTCAATACCTAAGAGTTCCTTACTGCTCGAAAAAGAGAACAGGTTCCTACTCCAAAGGTAAATATAAGGAACAAAATACACCAATCATGTTTTAATTTATTATATTCTTCTGTTAGCTAAAGATAATTTTTCCCAATCAACAATGTATAGCATCCCAATAATAACCCATGTACTGACAACATACATACCTCCGTGACCATCGTAGACACCAAAAAAGGATGTTGAAGTATCCAAATCAGGTATTGTTGCATGCTAAACAAAGGAAAGGGACAAAATGTTAACTCATACATATTGGATTATTGACAACTAACACACTATAATAAGACAAAGACTGAGAACATGCATCAGATAACTATGTCAATAAAAGCATATATTAGATACTGAAGGCCACAATAAGCATGCATTAGATACTAAAGGCCACAATAAGCATGCATTAGATACTGAAGGCCACAATAACATGAAACATATGATGTCATATCTAAACTGATTCAAAGCAAATACCATAATATGAGTCAATAGCAGTTCCACTCTTATCTGTAGTGTGATTTTAGAATATTGAAGAAATTTTTACCTTGACTAGAATCAATCAAATAACTTGAGCCTATTCACTTTCACCGGAAGATTCTGCCAGCTTCCTTAGACTTAATTTACTCTTTTCTGTTTTTTATATTTTTGAGAAGGAGTCTAAACTTACAAGTGAGATGGACTGCAGATAGATCATTCAGAGGAAGAAACGATAACAAGCATAATGAACATTGTCTAGTTTCACTACCAAAGCTTTCCACTATGTAAATGTTTTATTATTGTTATACTGAAGCTGTAGGCAAAAACAAAGGCAAGTTAGTCAAGACTCTTAGATGAGCATGATAGTTTATATCAGTTTAACTTCATATCACACTTGAGGTGACCAGTCAACACTGAAGATAAACCAATTCTACGGCTCAGAATTATGAAATGACTAGAGAAACAAAAATAAAACAAAGTTTAAACATGTCAATGCTCAATTCTGAAAGTGAACAAGCAACTATAAACTTAAACTCATGCCCGAGAAACCGTTCAGACAATCCAAAATCCATACTATTTCCCAGATAGAAAGCTGTGAAAATATAGTGTGTTTTTCCTCTTGGATGTTTATTCATTAATATTGTGTCATCAAATTAAATAAAAGCAAGCAAGTTATTCATTCCACAGATTTCATCACAAAAGATATAACTAAAGTAAGTGGCGGCCACAGGGATACTTACAGCATCTTCCATTGTTGCACGCCATCCTTGCATTGATGATAAACCATATTTTACCCTATCATTTCCACCATCTTCTGAGAACTTCTCTATTACAAATGAAGAATCACGAAAGAAAAGATGAAAGGGAAAAAAACTCATCCTAAAAATAAAGCTACACTAAGAATGCCTAAAGATCATTCTCCAACTACTTCATGTGAGAATTTTCTGATGCAGAAGGTTTGGTATAAACTTTCTTATACGGAATAGGAATCAATGGTTCCAGATTTCCACATGAAAGTATATTAGAGAGAACATTATCTATTATTGGATCTTACCTCCAGACAGAAGTTCATTGATTTCCATCTTAAGGGAGATAATTTTACCTGGAGAAGAACACTTTATAGGTTCAGGCATCACGTTTACTAGCTGGGATGAATGTCCAAAAGTGTCTATCTAGCCTAAATAAATTTGCATACAAGCATGCACATATTCTGTTGGAATCTGAAGGCACTTAAAGGAAAAATCCAGTTTAGATTTGAAACTACGTGATTCAAGGAAGAGGGTTGCAATATATCGACTGTAGTAGAAGCTGTGGAGAAAAATCCTTGGACTCTATGGTGGAATTCTATCAGGTGAAGGAACTTCCTTGGGCTGATGGTCTCCATAGTGGGATTCTATTAAGTTGAGGTTCTGAAAAAAGTAGCTTTAAAAAGATGGAAGAGCTGGATCTCTGGGAGGAATATGAGTGTGCCCAAAAGGAGCAGAAATTAATAAATTCGTTGTACCTTGTCTGAAGACATTCTTAGGGAAAAGAAAGTAGAATATTGTGACACAAAAGAGCCAACAAAGTAACTCTCCCTCTGCCGCATTATACGATACCATGACTATTGGACCGTAAAACAGCTCTTGCTTTGACAATGATCTTTCAAAAATTCTAAACCTGTAATCACTGAACTTGTGCTTTGTAGTATAATTTGTAATTTCTAAGATACTTTAAATAATAAATCGATATACAAATTGAGATCGGAAAATTATATGGTACGACTATCACGCTCCAATCTCCATCACTTTTTTGGAATGGAGGGAATGAATATTTCCACAAGTTGCAAACTCAAACTCGAAAAAGAAAAAGACATCTATGATCCTGAAAATTGGGTTTCATAATTTTCAAATGTTACACCATGAATCAATGGCTTCAAATACGAGCTGCAACAGGACTCTAACAAGATGAGCACTTATGTCCACTTCTACTTTCACTGATGACGATGGAAGGATGCCAGCCTTCTGAACAATGTTGTTATATGAACTGGCTAAAATTGTTAAAGAATAGCATAGGTCTCTAGTATAGCTCATCTATTTCCTACTTGGAACTCTTATTTTCTAATGATACTAATACCTTTTGGGAAGCCTCAGATTCTCAATTAGATGTGCTTCTTTCTTTTCCATTTTTAAACGATAAGTCTCCATTTTTTTGTGTGTGTTTTAATGAAGTGACAAATTTTACGAACTCAATTTGGGTGTGTTAGAGTCCTCTGGCGTGTTTTGAAGCTACCAGGGTTAAATATCATCTAGTCACAGCAAAACTGAAATCCTACTGGATGGATCAAGATTGCTTAGCCAGTCAATTCTGTATACTTTCCGGTTGTTGCTCTACAACATCTTTAAAGCCTAAATCAGTTTGACATGTACCATCAGTAAAAGTCAAAGAACATACATTTATCCACAAGGGGGAAGACAACGTCACCCTTTCACTGTTCCAGCTTCAACTATGAAATAACTTGACAAGATCAAGATGATCTTTCTTTAAGTAGGTTGATTAATGATGAATTTAAATTACCATTTCATAAACAAGTGCTAAGCCTACTCAAGAAATGCACATTTCCTCTGATAGATGGTTAGGAAAATGAAATATGATTCCAAAAGAGCAGAAGTCATATCAGTCATATACAAGATTGAACCCCTCAGCTAGTTCACCACAAATAGCACAACATCTCATAATATTGGTTTTCAGAAAATCCTAAACAAATAACTGCCCTAAAGAGAACTACTTTATGACTTTCTCAGATAATGCACACACCCCTATACCCTCCTCCACCAATACACAAAACCTCATGGATTTCACCCCGTGTATTTCAAATCCATAAGCAAAAAAATCAAAATCCATTGCACCTACTACACAAAAGCAAATAAACAAACGCAAATCCCTGATCATATCAACCTTTACTTTCTGATTCATTTCAAACACACTTGGACAATAAAAAAACAAAAACAATTAGAGATCTTAAAACTCCGAAAATATAGAAACTCAAAAAATCCCATCTTTAACTCCAAATTGAAATCAGTTCGATTGAAACCACTACAAATACAAATGATTTCACTTTCTTCTAAATACACAATATTACTACTAAATACTGAAAATTGAGAAATCAAAAGCATGAAAACACATGAGAATTGAGAAAATTAAAATGAAGATTAGAGAGAAGAAAAGGGAACTAACGAGTAGATTTGGGCGAAGTTGTAAATAGGGACAAAGTGCGAGACGGCTCTTCTCCTTGTCCTTAAAATCTGATTAATTAAATTAAATACTGAATTAACAACTATGCAAACAGTACATAATTAAGTTTTAATCTTTCACCTCTTCATTCTTCATTCCAAAACACAATCAATCTCATTTTGTTCTTTTGGACAATCCCATTAAACAAAAAAAAAAGTTACACTTTTCGAAACTTTTAGAATTTTGTGATTTTAGTAATGAAAAAGTTAAAAATTATATTTATAAAAAAGTTAAAGATAAATAAATTGAGACCAAAAAAATAAAATAAAACAACATATTAATACATAATACTTCTATTTTGATATAGGCGAAAGTTAATTTATTTATATGATATCATTTGACTTATTATTTTACATGCTTTTAGGATGGAGCGTATAAGAAATGCTTCAAAACGTAAATGAAATGTAAACTTATGATATTCTGAATAAAGCTAACTCATAATTATCTTACCTTTTTACAGCCAAACTGCGTTTAGATCAATAATTTTTTTAGACCAATGTGATATTGAAGTGATCAAAATATTGAGTATGTCTCGCATTTGAGTTTCCTTCTACATTATTAGAAGCGGAAGTTTCCAAAAAACACCGCTTCAAGTATATTCAATTGAGAATAAACATGTTTCAACTAATAATATTTTTAATATGAAATATATGAAAAATAAATGTAAATACTTTCAAACTAAATTTTTTTGCGTAATGCTAAACTCAATTACCGAAAAAGTTCACGATAATATGTTTGACGTATCTAAGAATAATAATTAGGAAAGAATGACTTGATTTTTGTGGGATTTGTTAGTTTTTCGATAAATTAAATTAGAAGGTTGAAAATTGTTCACTTTTGAATATTTGATGGATGTTTCCGGCTAAGAATGATACTTAGAAGATATAGTTTAAGTTTGAGATATAGTTTAAAGATGATTTTGGTCAAAAACTCAATAATGTTACACGAAATACGAAATTTGGTGTAATACTATTGCATACCAATTTTAATAGAAAAATCAATGCTCAAAACACCAAATTTTTGTTACTCTCTACGTCTGGTATTATTTGTCATGATTTTCATTTTTAAAATCAAACTATAAAAACTTTTACTAACTTTTAATATGCAAAAGATTGTAATTTATAGTACTTTACTATAGTTTTAAAATATTGAATTTTTTTTATTTAAAATATAATATCGAATTAATACGATGTAATTTAAGGTATTGTAGAATTTTGTGTTCAAGTTGGAGATGGCCTAAACGTGAAGTCACGTTGTAGATTCAAACAAAAGTGAGAATTGTGAAATCGAAAACATCAATTGCCTGGAACAGAGTAACCCAAAAAATGGCGTCGGCCAGTAATCCACAATCCCTGTTCAATGTTTTCGTCTACGGCAGTCTTTTAGCTGACGACGTCGTTATTGCTCTCCTCAAACGGGTCCCATCTTCTTCACCTGCGATTCTCCACAACTTGTTCGGTTCTTTATTCCTTGTTTTCCATTCTTCTTGTATTATATATATAAATGTGTTCTTATCTTTTTGTGGGTGTTATTTAAATTTATCAAATACAGTAAAAGATTTTATTTTTATTGGGATAACTCTGGAGTTTGCAGAGTTCCAGTGAATGAATCTTTATTAGTGTTGAAGAAATGTGACATTTTTCGTGTACCCTTTTAGCTTATGGATGTTGAAATTTGATTTTCAGTTGATATTTGGGATTGGTTTTATTTTAAGAAATTAGAAACATGATAGTGAGTATGTGTTAAAAGTTTCTTATGTGTATGGATGGATATTCTTCATTTTGAGATGAATCACATAGAAAGTTGTGATTATAATGCGAATCAAAGTTTCAACATACATTCTTAGTTGTGATTCTTGAAAATATCATGTTGTAGATGTTAACAATTGTAACATGTATAAGTACATCTTACTTTGCGTTGAGATATCCCTGGATTCTGTCTGTTTGTTTGTTCTTTACTAGGAGTTCCTAATACTAGTTAATGAGATTTTTCGATTTTTGTGTGTTAACATTGATGTCCTATTTGCTCGTTAATGTCCTAGAGTGATATATTTTTTGCCCACTGATTCTGTTACTTTGCTTCAGCCATAGGTTTAGCATCAAAGGGCGTGTTTATCCAGCCATTCTACCTGTAGAAAACAAGAAAGTTAATGGCAAGGTTTGTTTGACATATTCCACTTGTTGTCATAGAGAATTTACAATGTATCAAAGTACTATGTCATAGCTGTTCCAGAAATGCTAAATGATGAATCACTTAATTATCAACTAAAAGTTACCTCTAAGCATCTTAGCCATTCAGCTAACATTTGAACATAATCTGATGAATGCATTATAATTTTTTTCCTACTGTTTATAATATGATCTTTGCTACAGAATTTTATTTAGCAGTGGCCAAAATTGTTTATCCAAAACATGCCCAGAGACTTCTTTTTTTGCCTTTATTACAAAGTGTCCAACATATGCTAGGTGAATCAATCTTATAAAAAGGTAAAAAAACTGAGTGAAGCATTGATTTAAAATTAGTAACAGACTCAGTGTGATTAACCAAACGCG